ATAACAGAGGAAAGAAGGAACGTACCATCGCGGCGTTATGCATAGCATTGTTCAACAAACACTCGCCCGAGAGTATTTGAATCTTTTCCCAATCTTTTTCTAAAGCCAAAGGCTTCAGGTAATTAGCAAGCTCCACCGGTCGTGATAGCAGGTTGCACCTGGTAGAGACTGAAAGAGTAATGTTTCTCCTCCTTTGTGGATATTTAGAAGGAGCAGCATAATTTTGCCCCAAGTTCCCATGAACTGGGAACTGTAGAAGAGGAACACCTTCTTCATGGTCAGGTGCGGCCGATGGAGATGGTGTAGCAACCACTGGTGGAAGAGTAGACGAAGATGGAAATGATGTAGCAATTGCTGGTGTTGGTGAAGGTGGAGATGAAGCTGGTGGAGTTGAAGAGTGAGAAGCAGCTGCATCTACTGCAGTGCTGGTTGTTTGATGCACGCCAACCAAAGATGGCAGGGACCCAGTACTCAGCCTCGCAGCACCGGTTACATCAATTGGGGCTCGGAAGCGGGAGTTGGCATATTCTACTAAATCAGATTCTCCCCAAAGTGCTGAGACGTCGTCTTCAGTTGGTGCAACTATCTCAATAGGTTGAGCATCATGTTGAGATGATGAGGATCATCACCTTCCGTGTAAAGAAGATCCCTCATCAACAGCTTCTTCATCATCATCAATCATCACGGTGTCTACGACCAGTCCAAAAGGAGGACCAGTCATCATCACCACCAGAGATGATTAGGGGCTATCAACCTTTGCCCTTTTATTCTTTTCCCCGGCCGCGGAGGAGCGTCTTCTCTTTGTTTGTTTATCCTCCGGCCAAGGACTCCGTAAAGAAATATTTTCACCCGAAACAGGCCCGGAGATACCTGTTCGAGTAAGTGCATCCTGAAGCAGCCTCGCTGCATCAGCAGGATCAGCCAGAACGTCCACCTCGGGGACAGCAACAGAGCCCGTAGGTAGACCTAATTCCATGAACAAAGTTAGAAGAGTTCAACCAAGTTCTTCATATACAAAAATAGAAGCAAGGTAAATTAGAGTTACCATGATTTTTGGCCTTCCACCCATATTTAAGGACTAGTTCTTTCCACGAACTAGTTCCGGGTATTGTGACGTCCAAAATCTTCTGAACCCACTGGTTCAAACCTTCCACCACCGGTGGGAGCCATCGAGTTGCTGAAAAATATGAAGGATGAAGAGATGATACGGCCATAGAAGAATATCTAGTAAGAGGAATATTATACAAAGAACTTACGAGTGCAGTTCCAAGCAATCGAAAAGGATGAAGTCGTTGTCAGAATGATGTCGCTGGTGGCAACTGCAACGAACCGCTCCATCCACCCACGGCCGTTGTCATCATCCATGCTAGACAACAAAGCATGGTGGCCACGCTTGTAAAGGTTAGCTAAGGTTAGCTCCTCTCTAGTTTCTTGGCACAAACGTCGAAGGCAAGCGATCGTCCTCCACACTGAAGGACTTACCTGTGCCAAACTCACCTGGTAGCGAAGGCAAAATTCCACAATCACGGAATCAAGCTCTCCGCTCAAAGAAAATGCACCCAAAGTAAAGGGATACGTGAAAAGGTATGTAAAACCTTCCTTGGGAAGGGTCACTCGCTCCGATAGATCAGGAGCGATGATTTCCAACTCATTGCGGCGACAGTCCTCTTTCACAGCAGGGACTCTGGAAGGACGAATAGAAGAAGGGTACCTACTAACATCCCATGTACGAGGGTTAGCAGTAGGGAATATCTTTTCAAAATCCTTCAAAGTACTAAGCCTCCATGGGATGATGGAATCCACTGTTGGAGGAATGGAGTCCTCAGTTTTGTACTTATTCTTTGAAGAACCACCATATTTTGAAGAAGAAGCCATTGGAAAAGAAAAAGGTAAAGAGTTTGTGTTTGAAGAAAATCAGGAAAATGATGAAAAACAAAGATGCAAATCAGAAACTCAAGCAATTGTGAAGCGTAAAGGAAAGAAAATTGCGTATAAGTAAAATTCTGGCGGCTAAATTCATGGCCATGATTACCTCGATAATCGGAAAAAGTTGTGTTGAATCATGGGATGACGCATTTTTGGGGCATTAAATGCGGAGAGACGTGCATCTAATCAACTGTTAGAGACCTTCAGGGGGAGTTATAGTGATTCCCGCCAAAAAAGTATTTCTACCAACTTTTCGGTAACACAAAGTTATGTCAACGGAAAGCAGGGGGACTATCTGTTTAGGGTAAAATATGATATGACACGTAGCTGACTAAAAGAAAGACACGTGAAATCCAAGATGGGATGATTGAGGACCGAACGCAGCCACTATGCTTGTCACCGGAACTGATAACGTTCATAAAAGTGTATTAAAAGCTTTGTGCCTGGTAGCATTTATTAAGGAATATTCTACAGTATTAAGAGCAATGGTCCGTTACAAAGAATTTAGCATTTATACTCAACGTTACATCTCAATCAATGACCCTCATAATTAGCATTAAAGGAGGGCATGATCCTAGAACCTTTTTTCCTAGGCGTAGCTATAAATAGTGGGCTTAGTTACCATTGTAAGAGACATAAAATTTCTGGCAAGAATATATATTATATTCTATACAAAGCTTTATACAATTTCACTCTCTTGCTTTTTGATCCCATCATTGCTGTGTTCGGAAACCGTATTCACGGAATCACTATCTTTGTTATTTCATCTACATTCCAAGGCTAAGTACTACATATTTCTTCGATTATTATATTATTTCAGGATCAAATTAGTTCAGTTGTCTAGAAACCACGTATAAATTCAACTGTACCATTTTACAGGTAAACAATTATCATATCCAATCAATATCCATCATATTAATAATTCTCGTCTACACACAAAATAATATAATTAGTACACATCAACTTTCTTAATAGCGCTTAACCATTTCAAAAAATTTCGGGTGCTACACACATGTTAACTATTGCAATGAAATGACGGGAGGTATGAATTTTTATTATACCTTTATCATTTTATGTGACACGATTTAACGAGTTAAGAAATTTAGCATATTAATTTGACTAATATATTGTGTAAGTGGCAGGCAAAAAAAATTTAAGTAATAGATAGTATGAAGGAAAATATATTGTATCGGTACTAAAATTTGATTTGTTACAAATATTTGATTAATATAAAAACTTGCAAAAGTTATGTGACATTATACTATTACAATAATAGAGTCGTACATTTTGGAACATCTCGAAATTAAGATAGTGTCATAAATGTTGGGAAAGATTGAGTAATTTTTAAGTTAAATCAAAACAACACTATTAATTGGCACGTATGCCAGAGTCATCGATGAAAATTCTGATTAATATTATTTAGAAAATGGCGAGGGTCATTAGATCATTAATTGACAAAAGTGATGGTTTAAGATACAATTAGTGACATAAACAGATTTTTTTTTAAAAAGAGAAAAGTTGGTTCCTGATTTATAAGTATTTTCTAATTTTGGTTCTTGTGTTTTATGCTTGAGCATATCTATAATCAAGTTTGCATCTTTCTTTCAAATTTTTTAGACCGTAAACGAGTTGTTATTGTATATAAATTTGAGATCATTGAAGAAAACCATAAACTTTAGATCCTGAATCCGCCGACGAACTCAAGCATGTCTTTTGGTGACCCTATGTTTGTGTTAAGAATCCACTTAATACATAAATAAACCCAATAAGCTGCTATTTCTAGAATTGGCACTATTAGAAATTCGGCAAAAACCGATCGTGGTCTACCGAGCAATTTTGGTAGGTCAAAAAATAGGCCAAAAAATCGACCAAAGTCGGTCGATTTTTCAAAATATTTTATTTTTAAATTTTTTTTTACGAAACCGACCAACTTTGGTCGGTTTTTTTTGGCGCAAAAATGCGGGAAACTATTTTTGAGTCCCGCGAAATTTATTTTTCAAGAAACCGATCAACTTTGGTCGGTTTTTTTTGGCGCAAAAATGCGGGAAACTATTTTTGAGTCCCGCGAAATTTATTTTTCAAGAAACCGATCAACTTTGGTCGGTTTTTTTTGGCGCAAAAATGCGGGAAACTATTTTTGAGTCCCGCGAAATTTATTTTTCAAGAAACCGATCAACTTTGGTCGGTTTTTTATTTAAAATAAATTAAAATTAATATTAAAAAATCGACCGCAATCGGTCGGTTAATTCGGCCAGTTATTTTAAAAAACCAACCAAATTCGGTCGGTAATTTTATTTTTTAATAAAATCGACCGACATTGGTCGGTTATTTTCGTGCGGAAATACAATTAAAGAGTATAAATGAAATAAAAGACTGTCTTAAAACAAAATGTACCAATGGTCTAGTGGTAGAATAGTATCCTGCCATGTACAGACCCCGGTTCGATTCCCAGATGGTGTATTTTTTAATTACATAATTAAAATACCGACCTACTTTGGTCGAAAAAAAACGACCAACTTTGGTCGGTTATTTCGGTAATTTTTTTTTTTTTGAATTTAATTGACCGACCAACTTTGGTCGGTATGCCCTTCGAACCTTCAAAATACCGACCACACGTTAATGATCGCGTTTTGGATGGTTATTGGCCATTATCGACCTACTTTGGTTGGATTTTTTGGACTGTTTTTGCCGAATTTTTTTGTAGTGTGGTAACTCAAAATCTTCACTCCGCCTCTTTGCTAGACCGGTTGAAATGTATCTTTTCCAGCATTCCATGTGACCATCTATGGGACGGAAAGTACGTTCTAAGAAGCATGAAGTTTCAATCTTTCATTTCAGGAAATCAGGAAAAGAACACGTAACAGATAGAAAACATGCATTTAGGAAAAAGAAGAAACTGAAAGGAAATTCCCCCAATTTGGACACCAACCATGTCATTTCTAATTGGATTAATCACTTTAAGGAAAAAAAAATATAGAATTATTAATAGGCTCTTACAGGAGTGTAATGGAAGCAGTAAAAGTGACATTTTAAGTTTTACGCAGAAATGTACAAAAATAAGCTCCAANCCCCCCCAACATAATCTTTTGATAACTGAAGAATCCCGAGGGCCGCCTAGCACAGCATTGAGAATCAAAACTCTTTTCCACTTAAATAAAAGGCTTTTGTATGCAACAAGGCTTGAACTATGATGTGCGCCTAATCCACACATTAACATTGCTTCAGAGGAAGAGCAAGATTGCCGTTTAGATATCTCTGCCTTGGCAAGCGCCTCGTTCTCTTTCCCCAACCTGTTAGGCTTTTTTCCTCAAGCCCCATTTCACCAGAACAAGGCTGGATTACTAGAGGTGTGCAATCTGCAGGAATTGTTGGGGAGGGATCGGCATTTGCTAAACGCTTCCTTCCCCTGCCCCTCTTACCGGTTTTCCTATGTGACGAGCTAGACTGCCAAGAGGATCCACTGGCCTTAAACAGTTCTTCGAATTTTAAAATATCCTTGTTCACCTCATACCTAGACAGGGAAATAAGACCAGGAAGAACGTCCCTCTGAAAATCTTTTCGTTGTCTTCCCCTTTTTGCTTGCCCTCTTCGAGCCCATTTTGGTAAGGTAACGGCCACTGTTTCTTCGTCGTTATGGCTCTCCAGTGTTGGTATTTTATAGGAATACTCTTCTTCCTTCATATCTTCCAGCTTCAGTGTCATAAACTCAAAGTAATCAAAGCCATCGGGAATGGATTCCTCATCAAAGTCGCACGCTGTACCCGAACAGATCGCTCTAGCAATGGATTCTTGTTGAACACAACAGTGAGAGGAGACCAACTCAGCAAACCATTTGAGGCAGTCGCTAGTTTCAGTTTGCAACGCATCATTCATTTCTCCGTTTGCACCAGACATTGAGATGGAAATTATAGACTCAGCAGCAAGACTCATGGCTTCTTCATTCGGTTTATTAGATTCTTCTAATGTATGTTTAGATTCCCCACATTCCGCTTCAAATTCAAGAATTGCTGGAGCCTCTAAATCTATCTCAGTGGTCGCAATCCTCAGCACAACCCGAGGAAGAGCAGGTGCTGATGGAGCCTCTTCTTCATCTAACGACAAGTTCAAATCAATCTGATGCCTTAGACTAGAAATGCAACCATTTAGTCCCTTTTCTTGAAGAAAATCCTTGGCTTCCACCTGACTTCTACAAACAATCTCGTCTCCTGAAATTTTCGGGGCAGTAACATTGTTAGCATTAGGAAAATGGGTGTTTGAGAGCCCACTTGCTGCATGTGAGTCCGTGGGGGCACTGAAAATTGGAACACCAAAAATTGTCCTTATTTTAGTGCTGTCACTAACAGAGTCTTTGGTGGATCTCAACGACATGGTTCCCTGCCTCTGACCTATAATTTGAGAGGAATTGACTGTTGTGTCTTCTCTTCTAAAAAACTGCTGAGAATTATTCCGCAAGGAGTCCAGATTTAAGTGATAACAATTTTCCCTCCCTTTAGTCTGCTCTACACTTTTCTGTGTTTTCACCACTAACCAAGGCAATGTCTCCCGGGAGTTTTCCTGCTTCCTTTGACAATCTCCATATACAGGCGCTTTTCCAGCCGCTTCAGTTCGAGATACACAGGAAGTTTCCCTGTCAATCCTCATATGCATGTTGCTTTGATAAGACTCAACGTTCCGCAGAAGTTCAGTATAACTCTGAGAAAGTGGTCGAGATTTATGAGTGGAAGTCTGCACATTGGAACAGCTAGCAGATTGCATTTGATTTTCATGAATTTCTACACCAAAAATTGTTTTCTTCCCCTGGGGTTCAGTCTTGGTTTCCTTAAAGATAGAGTGCCTGAAAAGTTCATGACCTTGCGATGACTGAATACCTTTAGGTAAAATTTCAGCAGTTTCAAGTCTTCCAGAAGATTCGTTATCAGGTTGCTTTTTCTCTGAAACAAGTAGCAGCAATGAGATCAAAATATGAGGTGATAGCAAGACATTAACATCAAACACAACAGTTCAGATAAAAAATTAAAATTGTTGCATTCTCACTTATCAACAAATCTTTTATGCCCTTTAAGTGAGGTAGTCCACACAATGCATATAAGGCATGCATGATTATTGCATCACGATCACTACTGTTGTAATAGAGGAAAAATATGGAAAGAATGAAAAGAATAAATAAAGGAGGTACGTCCAAACATCAGTAAAAACAATTTGATAACAAAGACTTGTTTACTAGTATAAGATGCATTAACCTCACCAACTGTCTGTATTACTAACAGTTTAGCCTGATGCAGTATAGCAAATAAAGAGGTGTCATGCAACATGAGATCTATCTGTGACTATGACGGTGGCCCTTTCTGCTCCTACTTTTTTAGTCCATCTAAACATTCATAGCGCAACCCACTTGGAAGAAATAACCTCAGCAAGAAAAAAGGATCTCAACAAGAATCCTAAACTTGTGCATCAGAAAGGTAGATGTTTCACGACTGCCAACTAATACAGTTGGAAAACTGAAAAAAAGGGTTTACATCATGAAAACAATCTTACCAGCATTTAATTTAAAAGTTAACTGCTCTTCTCCATTCCTGGGAGGTGGGTGGTTGAGGCAAATTCCACGAATCCTTTCCTTGAGTGACTCTGGAGAGAATTTTCCCCCGTCATAGATGTCATCCTCGAGGCAAGTAATGCTACTTATATTGACATCCGGCACCAACGGAGAAGCTTCTTCAAGTGGTAAAGGTTTATTCAAGTCAGCTAGTTCATCAGTTCCTTTTAAGGAATTGGCTCTGTCAAGATCAACATCAGAATGAAATTCCAAAGTGCTGGCAAAAGGCATCTTTGCATCTCCACTTAGGGGCATCTGATAAATTCCCTCAACAGGGTTCCCTTGAATGCAGGGTACTCCCCATTGTTTCCGAGTAGGGTGTTCTTCTTCGTTATTCATGCACCCCTCAACTACGAATCTAGAATCAAACATTTTCCTCTGGAACAAACTGCTACTGGACCTACTATTGCTCTCCATAAAATCAAAAGAAGATTGATTCTTAGCAGTGTTTGTGGTTGATAGCTGACCAGCTATAGAATCCAATGAAGGAAAATGAGACAATGAAGGAATTGACTGGAATGTCTTCATTGGATGATTAAGCATTTCTTTCCTTTGAAGTTCATTCATTAGATCCCTTTGCCTTCTATAAAGCCGGTGGAGTTCTTGGAGCTGCATCGGTAAACCACAATAAGAGCACATAAAATGTTAAAAAATTATCTCCTTATGTTAGTCCTTCATAGAAATGAAACAATTTGAGTGAGAACATGATTGAAAGTCACAATACCTGATGCCTGAAAACTTTCTCATGCTTCAAAATTGTCTGCCTCACTTTTTCTTTGTCACATTCAAAATATCCATCAACCAGTTGCAGCGACAAAACTGAGTCAGTGCACTGATTTCTTTTCCTTGACTTATTTTCATGATTTACGAGCCATGGGATGTTAGTTCCGTTGCTATTTAGATCACTCATGGAGCAAAATCCTGGCAAATATCTCTTGCATTGTAATTTAGTTCCCATTCCTGCACTCATACAAGGAGTGGAAAAATATGATCAGAGTAGTAAAATGATCAAAACACCAAGAAAAACACTAAAGAACTCTAAATTAGACCATAAAAATCAAGAACATATTTTCCGGAGAGATTATGACAGTGACAAGCTCAATAAAGAAAGCATACAATCCAATTTATTTCAGTTCAATGAACCAGTATACTTGCTTGAAAAAATTCACCAACTTTATTACACCATATCGTAATTATTTTTAGCTAATGCAACAAGCGTTCTATCAGCTGAAACTGAGCTACAGTCCAGCTTCAATAAGCTAGCGTTTGGCCATAGATTTCTAAATTTATTCTGAAAAATCTGATTTGGGTGAAGTTTGGTTTGGAAAAACATGAAACATGACTTATACCCACAAGTTCTAAAAACTATCACAAATACCCAACAGTACCATTATCAATAACATTCATTATATTATCGCAAACCATAGTCCTGAACATAAATAAATTTGATACAAAATTATCATTTTTATAATGAATTACATGATACACCATCAGATGACCGAGAAGACGAAGCAACATCGTTACAAAATAATAAATGGTGGGCTCTTTTATAAAATACAAAAGTTTGGGGCAATTTTTAAAAAATATAATAGTGATATTTTGGCCCAAAACCAGCTATTGAGCTGATTTTGGGATTTGGGATTTGGGACTTGTGATTTGACCAAAATGTAAGCAAAATCTATGGCCAAACATGTGTTTGCCAAATAAAACCCAAGTTTAATTTGGCAAAATCTATGGCCAAACATGTGTTTGCCAAATAAAACCCAAGTTTAATTTGGCAAAATCTATGGCCAAACGGGTCCAGTAAAATATTGACAGGAAAATAAAAGGGGTTAAAAAGGAAAGAGTTTTAACAGTGTACACATTTTTTACACCAGGTGAGATGTACTATACTATAAGGTAACTGTCTATAGTAATTCTAATATGGTAACCTAAAATTTACAGTAAATAACAAAGATATTAGTACTAAATTTTCAAGTCAATTTTTGGAAATGAGAGCAATGCAATCTGTGGCCTATCTTGACGTTGGTCAAACAAATTAATTCCTTATTTTCCATGAAAAAAAAACATTCCTTGTTCAATTTTACTCAACAAATGTATGAAATATTAGCAAAAACTTCCAGTCAAATTTCCAATTCTCTTATATTTTCCTCCTTTTTAGTAATCAAAACATATACTGTAGATCAAATCCAACTCGAAGCTCACAACAGCAAAAAGAACTTAAAAATTTAAACAACATAGAAGAACTGAGAGAAGTAAAGAGAATAACCTCAAAAATTTCTGCTAATTTTCTGCTAATGAGAATTCTCTCTGTTCAACTGAAACTCCCTTTAAAGACCCAGAAATCAAAATAATAATTTAAGGAGCAACAACCTTTGTGCTGTCACTGATCAAGAAACCTCAAAACAAAAACATCATATCCACAACCCCCAAAAAAAAACATATGAAAAAACAAGTACACTTCTGCTAATCAATCAGAAGAAGCTACATGTAAGAGAGATCCCAGATAAGATTAAGATCTCTCTATTTCTCTCTCTCTCTCTTTCTTTTTTTCTCTCTACAGAAAAATGAAGTCTTTGCAATGACTTAAAAAATGTCAACATATGGTCTCTTTGTTATTCTCATATACTTTTTCTTTCACCTTCAATCATTTCTTTACCTAATTGGCTGGCTATATTTGATAGTTATATAACAGCGTATCTAATCTAAAAGAATAAAATATTAAAAGATTTTCTGGGCTTTTGAGGAAGTGAATGAAAGACACATAGGTATTTGTAGCACATTTTCTAGATTCTCTGTGCCCCTCCCCTCTACTCACTTCCGTGCTTGTTGGGGTACCCTCTTTATTTTTATTTTTTTTTGTTTTGCTAGTATTTCTTTATTGACACATAATATATTACTATTAGAACTAATTTTTATATTATTAGTATATTTTAACCGGCAACAGCATGCAACTTATCTTATATTTCAAATTATGAATCTCATTTTTAATGAACGGTTATCATTTAAGTGATTATTATATAATGTAAAAGAAACTATTGTTACTCCCTCCTATCCGTTTTAGTTGTTATGTTTCTCTTTTGCACGTCTCTTAAGAACTATTAATAAGAAGGGTCTTTTGACTTATTATAGTCTATACCTTTTTTTTGAAGTGGAGCTTTGGAGCAACGGTAAAGTTATCTTCGTGTGATATATAGGTCATGAGTTCGAGCCGTAGAAACAACCACTAATACTTGCATTAGAGTAGGCTGTTTACATCACACCCATTAAGGTACGGGCGTACGGCCCTGCGTGAACGCGAGATGTCTTGTGCAACAGACCGTCCTTTAGTCTACCTTAGTTATATCTTCATATTTAAGTTTTCTATACTATATAATCATTATTTTTTTTCTTTCAAAAATAACTAATACTAAGGACACAATAGAAAAATATAATTAATATTTTCTTTATTTTTTAAAATGATAAATATTTTGGATCACTTATATTTGGTACCATAACAACTAAAATGGAGTATTATTATAATTTTAGAAGGTGAAAAAGGATATCTTTATAACTTACAACAGGAAATGTCTTCAACTCCTCAACAGTTTCCTAAAAGCTTCTTTAAATGACCTCATTCATTATCTTAAACGGAAAAAGTCTAATCTGATTAATAATCACGCGCAGGAGCAGTGTATGGATAAAATCGCTCTCTGTTGAAGACTGACGGAAAGTGCAAAGCGTACGACAGGGCTTAATTGAAAGATATGGAGGCCGAGAGTTAGCTGACATGTGGAACTGTGGCGCGTGGCTGAAGATACTCTTTATCGTGAATTGACTTAACTTTTGAACCTCAACTTACTCCGTCCAAAAAAAATGGCAAACTTCGGAAATTTTAGATTGCTCGATTTTTTTTGTTTTTTGGTATAAAAATGTATATATTTTGAAATTGTAAAATGGTAGGAAAAAACTGTGTAGCTTTTCAAATAGCAGGACTGTCATATAACATGAATTTTTGGTCTATAACTTAAAACAATAAATCTCAGGTTTGAAAGAAGATCCAAATTTTAACTTAATAAATTCAAAGATGAATGTTCTCTAAAAGTATGAGTTTAACACTTATAGTACTAATATTGTCAAAATGTTCACATATATGTCTATAGTTTAAAATAATAGGTTCAATGGAACTCATATTCAAAATTATGAGCCCGGCGCTATTCATACTCAATATTTTATAAAAATATTAGTATGCACCAACTTATATGTGGCACTCCCCCTTCTAGTGTTAAAAAAAAAAACCTAGAGAGTATCGATTTTCACTGGTTGATGTTAGAGCAAAATTATAAATATTCTCCTATTAACTTGACAAAAAACAAATAAATAAGATAAGCCAAGTATTTGTCAATCTTCAATTTTACTTTAATATTCTTGTCCAACAAAGTAAACAAATGGTTTTAAGCCTTGTAGGCAGTGTTTCCACTTTTAAAGGACTTACGTAACGTGAAGTTAAATTAATCAGCATCCCAAAACGAGAATTTGTTGTCAATTTTACTTTAATATACTTGTTCTACGAAATGAATAAATAGTTTTAGACTTTATAGGGAACGCTTTCCCTTTTAAGAAACTTATGCAAGAAGTTAAATTATTCTGCGTCCTAAAAAACAAAGAAGCATCACTAGATTGAAAACCAAAAATATCTTGTTTCACGTTTATCGGTAATAAATCCTAAAGAAGAACAAAAGTAATTCGAGATTTAAAAGCTTAATTGTTGGGTAAAGTTATACAAGTCCATATGCGGACAACGGAATGTAATGGTCTAGTGGATAAATCTAGCAAAAAGACGAATTGAATATTTTGGTCCATTACTCGAGCGTATATCGTTTTCAGCACAATATTATTACTATGTTTATATAAATGTAATTTCAAATGAAGTTAGTAAAGTATTACGTAATAAAATCCCATAGACCAAAAACCTTAAAATAAATAAATTAGTTAGAGAAAGCGTAAGATAAGCAGGGAAACTTGAGACGGGGAGTCATGCGGAGAAAAAAAGGGCAGCCCGGTGCACTAAACTCCCGTTATGCGCGAGGTCCGAAAAAAGAACGAACCACAAAAATCTATTGTACGCCGCTTTACTTTACATTTCCGCAAGAAACTGTTTTTACGATTTGAACCTGTCACCTCCGGCAGCAAATGTGAATCCTGTGGAAGAATAAACAAAAAGGTAACGCTGTTAGACATTTTTTATTATTGTTTTATATGTGTTAAGACCTCATTTGAGAAAAATGGTAAGTGGATGTATTCATGGACGGTTACACAATATGGGCCTACGCGTCGTCTGTTTCCTCTCATTTTTGCTGATTATTCAACGTTTAAAAGATTTTAAAGCTATTCTAGTGTTCAAACTTTTTTAAATAATAATCATAGTATTCTTTGTGCGCGCATCGATTAATTTCACAGTATATTTATTATCTCTTATTAGATAATTTTATTCACCAAAACGTAAACAAATAAAAAAAAATTACCTAATGTTTTTAGCTTTACTTGAGCAATTTTTGTGTTGACTTAAAAAGCACATGTCAAGATTTGAAGGAGAATGCCTCGACAAATATAATACTCCAAGCGCTTGGTTGTTGAAAAATAAATAGAAATAGTAACATGATTATTTTATCCATTTGTTTTTACATACTCTAATTAACAAGCGAGTGTAACTTGTCTTTGCATAACAATTTTCAAGATTCTGTAGCCAACATATTCGTATTCGAACTTATAGGACAATAGCATTTTGATTAATTGAGAATATAAGGTGATTTAATGGTCATATTATAATGCTATCACTGCCTTTTTCTGCCGTTTATTTTTTTTCTTCGAGGCTTGTTTAGTTGTTTTAGAAAGACCTTGCCATAGAATGTATATTGTTAAATATATTTTTATATGCCTAAAGAGAATTGTATTCGAAATATATACTCATCTCAACCTTTATTTAATTTATATTCATTTCAAGTGATACTTCGACACATAATCCCATCGAAATGCATTTTGTTTCCCGTATTCAAGAAAATATTACATGATCGAATAATTCAAGGAAGAATGGAATGTGGGGAGTCTTTTTTTGGGGTTTAATCATCCGGTATATAAAAATTGTTGGCTCAAATAATTCCGATCCGATCCGATCCACATCATATAGAGAGAATTCTTTTAGATAGATCACACTTGTCGAATGGTTGGAACATGACTTCTTTGATAAAGAACTTGAATAAATTCGTTTTCCCAAAGGAGTCATCATTAGCTATTAGTACTAGAAATATAGAGACACATTCAATCCCGACGTATTTCAGATGGCACAGACACATTAATTTTAAAAGATTCTTCTTTACTAAGGTGTAGCCTTGTAAATATTGAACACATTTCAATTCGAATAATGTCATTAATTCAGCTAAGCTTTCATAGATCTCCTATCAATATAATTGCCATGTAATGTATATTCCACCAACAGATAAAACAAGTGAAATGTGAGCCAAAACTTTCCAAACTTCATCCATTTGTCTGTATGTTAACATGATCCATGTCTTTTTGTTGACATGATTGATCTGCTTTGCCAACCAGAAAATTCCAATATTTATGCTAAATCTGGTTTCTTTTTCTTCATCACTTTATTCCACCTTCGTTTAAAACCATTGACTCAATCTCTTTTCATAACTAAATTCACATGAAATGAAAGTAGTAATCAATAATTTATTCTTAAAGATCACAAGCCTCTTGCAAATTTATCGCTAAAAAGGAAACAAGAAGTGTTAAACAACGGTCCCGTCAGCAAAAGTTGTTGTGGGAATTTACTCTATAATATACATGGCCAACTGTCATTTGATTTCCAAATTTACACGGAAAAAGTTGCACTATACTCATTTTCGTTTTAGGTTGTACTATTTCTTTTTTGGTATGTTTCAAAAAAATATGACACATTTATATATTTAAAAATAATTTAACTTTGAAATTCTTATTTTACATTTAATGACATGATTTTATAGTCACATAAATGTTGTGATAAGTTTCAAAATTCTTGTTTTCTTTCTTAAATTTCACGTCAAATCAAACAGGTTCACATAAAATAAAACAGAAGAAGTGCACGTTAGATTGAAGGTGAGGATCTACTTACTTCAAGAAAGAGGAAAAAGAAAAAGAAAAAGAAAGAAATTGTTAGTCATATTTGATATTTTTGTTTTATAAGGATAAATGGAAAAGATTCGTGAAGTCAATTTTTGGAGTGTGATATTAGAAGTGATAGGCTAACTAACTGTAGAATCCTAAGAATGAATAATGAGGCAATTAAAAATTAATAGAGTGCTTTAACTCTTTCAATAAATTCACATCCACCTTTCAGCAATCAATGAGTAACATGCTCGCACACCCACCTATGGTTAGTCTCGTGTTGATATTTTCCTTTTACACACTCTCGTCTACTCTTTCATAGTATTTATTTTGGACTTCCATTTCATAATATTAACTTCTAAAAATAGGTTTGACAATTATGAGCAATACGTACATGACTTCCTGATAGTCAATAGAGCAAATCCAACAAGAAATTGAGTTGTTCTTCAATCAGTATTTCAGTTCATAGAAAGATAACTAGTTAGGCAAAGATAATATTCTGCACAAGGAAGAAACTGTATCATTGAGAAGATCAGCAATACGTATGCAAACGGGGTGCATAATCATGGGATCACAAATCCAGCTGAAATGGCTTGTTTAGTTATTTCTCCCCTCAAACCAAGCAAAACACAGAAAATAGATATACACCACAGGGGTTGCCACAGGACATTGGTTATATATACACCACGAAGGCTAGAAAATCGAGCCTAACCAGTTGCATTTCTAGCTGACTGAATGATTTGAAAGACTGATCTGTTCAGGTTGATTTGCCTTTGCCAGAAGAGGAAAGCATCTTTTTCTTGTCATATCACCTTAATTGCATATACAAAAGGACTTGCCCCATCGGATGGACAATCTGCTCTAGATGATCATTTGTGAAATATTGAAGTAGCATAAATCCCCAATATCACCTCAAAGGTGAAGCTCCAATCTCCATTTGGTAGGCTGCGTTCCCTAACTCTATTTTAGGCAGGTGCTAACTACAGATGGACATTTATCACTGCTTCTACAAGACATCAGTGAAATGAGAGAATTAAGCAGCAACATGGTCCATATAATTTAGATCAAGATCAACCATAAGTTTCACTGTTTTTGGAGCATCTTCCTGCTTTAACGGAGTTTGATCCGTTTTAACCACAGTAAATTTTACCTGGCACTGCACATCTAGCACAGGGGTAAGACAGTAACAGATTAACTATTAAGAAGTTGAGGACTAAATAACTTGCAGAACTTTTTCCTGAAATATTGAAGATATCCAAAGACTAAATCTGTATTGGAAGTACAGCTTCATTATAACAGACTACAGAACGATGCTTGTTCTCAACTCATCATTATCTAAAACATATTTTCCACAAAGTTAGGTATATTATGCACAAGCATTGACCATGAGAAGTGTTCTTCAGTATTATTTACTAACTTGTTGATCTGGGCAGGATATAGGAGAGAAGAGCGTACAACAAATCTCACCTTTATTTCAAGTGCCATTGCTGCTTTGTGAGAGATTGATCTCAGGACTCATACTCATCATGGCAGTTTGTGTCATTCCATAATAGTTTTCTAGGGAAAATATTTACAAGTGTTGATTTACTGCATCAATCTCTGATATCTGGTCCGATATAAGATGACTCATCTCTGTTCATGAAACTAATCATTCATCGCAAAAACCCATTGGAACAGGACGAAGTAATTTAAGATGCTGACTTAATCCGTCTATCATATGATAAATCTTGTCTGATTTGACGTGAGATTTGTCCATCACTGTGAACTCATGGTATTCATCATTCAATGCTAATAAGCTAGCACCAGATTGCTTTGGCCTGCCAATGCTCTTCATCATCAACCTTATGTTAGCAACATTATTCCAGTCTCCTGCCACAGCATAAATATTTGACAGTGCAGAAAGTTTTCCAGCATTTGTCGGCTCTAATTTAACTAGGAGGTTAAGCACGTCATCCGCAAGTTCAACTGCTTTATGCATCCTGCAAGCCCCTAAAAGGGAACCCCAAATTTTAACGTTTGGTTCAAGTGGCATCTTTCGTGCAAGATCGAAAGCTTCTTTAATATAGCCACCACGACCTAAAAGATCAATAAGACAACCATAATGTTCTATTTCAGGTATTACCCCATAATCTTTCTCCATAGAATAGAAATAAATTATTCCCTCATCCACCAAACCAGTATGATTGCACGCACACAAGATACCAACTAATGTCACTTTATCAGGCGCAAATCCTTCTTGCTTCATCTTAAAGAAAAGCTCAAGTGCCTTCTTTCCACGTCCATGCATAGCCAACCCATGAATCATCGCATTCCAAGAAACCAAATCTCTCTTTTTCAGCCCGTTAAAGACATTATAAGCCTTATGCAAGCAACCACACTTGGCATACATATCAATCAAGGCATTAGAAACCAGAGTACTACACCTGTACGTACTCCTCTCGACGGAATCATGCACTCTTTTACCCAAACTAAGCATGCCTGATTCTGCACAGGCAGCTAGAATGCTAACAATAGCCGCAACATCAAGCTTCAAACCTGCCTCCTCCATTCGCATATACAATCCAATTGCCTCTTTTACAAGGCCTTTTTCGGCATATCCTGATACCATTATCGTCCACGATACAAGATTTTTGGAAGGCATTTTATCAAACAACATTCGAGCCATCTCCAAATCCCCCACTTTGCAATAACCCGAGACCATTGTGGACCAAGACACAACATCCCTCAACGGCATCTTTTTAAACAATTCAAACGCCACAATCATTTCCCCAGTCTTAGTATATCCATCTAACATAGTATTCCAACTAACCCTGTCTCTTTGAGGCATTTCATCGAACAACTTTCGCGCTTCGCTCAAATCACCCACTTTCAACAACGCACTAATCATAGAATTCCAAGAAACAACATCTCTCTCCTTCATACCTCGAAACAACTGACCTGCAGCTCGTACACCAACTACCCCACACTTAGAATACGCATCAATCAACGAATTAGGGACATAAATATCATCCTCAAAACCCCATTTCACAACATGGGTATGAATCATACTCACAACACTCAACCAACACTTCCCCGAACAGCCCTTTAACAGAAACGAAAAGGTAAAATTATCAGGAAAAATACCAGCACACTGCATATAAAAGAAAGTAGCAAAAGCTTGAGATGGGTTGAAGTTGTGAATATGAGCTCTGATTAAAGCATTGTGCAAATGCACATTAGGGTCAGGAACTTGACTAAAGACTTTTAAAGCAGAACCCATTTGGCGACAAAGAGAAAAAGCGGTAATTAGTTTGGGAGCAATGAAAGGGTCTTGTTGAAGATTGGATTTGTATACAATTGCTTGCATTTGCTTCAGTTGGTTAATGTCTCTGCATTTGTCTAAGTCCCATAATTTCTGCTCGAAATGTCTTCGCCTTGAGACCCATGTAGGAGCTCGGATTGGTGTAGGCATCTGCATCTTACAAATGGGAAAATTGTTTGAATTGCGAGTTTGGGTCTTTAGCTCTTGACGGAGAGTTAGTAGAATTTTTGCTGACCTTTAAAGCCTCATTCATCCAAGACCTGCGACTGTCGGATAAGGTTTTATTATCCGTTAATTCTAATCATTCACTGTGTCTGTTTCCATTATCTTAACACCCCATGTTTCCTGCGGGAAATAACGTAATTGGGCTTTTAACTATTTTCTTTATTTATGGTTCTTTTGGTTGGCATTTTTTTTTTCTTCTTCTTTGATATTGATATTTAAGAGTAATTGAGAACATATAGATGAAAGACGAGTGAATGTTTTGTTTAGAGAAAATTTGAGAAAGAAAAACTCATGTGATAATTATTATAAACCCTAATATAAGTGGGTTATCATTATATTATAGTCGAAATCTATATATGTTATAGGAAGACTAGGTGTTGGTACAATGAATAAACTTTGCAAATATTCACCCAATCCCATCCAATTAAAAAGGATTGGATACGTTATTAAAAGCGAATCAAATATGAATCGTACCATGTTATTCTTTTTTAAAACGAATAACTTGCGGATTATAAATGAAATATCTGGATTAGACCTATGAACATCATTGGACAGAAAGGAGAGTGGAATATGCATGTTCATGATACGGTACAATATGGTTTTGAAAATTTCAGTTCGACAATATTAAATTTTAACTTTTTTAAAAATACTATACATTATCGTACCAAATTAATTTGATATTGTTTGATATGTTTAAGTTTGATTTCAATTTGTGTAGAATGGTAAGTTCGTAACGATGTCTTGCTTAACTTCACTTCATATACAGGGGAGAATTATGACTTAGGCAATATTAAAAACTCTTTCACGCTTGAAACGAATGGAAGTTGTCTAGTGGTTGACTGGGAACAGCACTTATTTTATTTTTAACATATGATCAATAATACATACACTACTAGAAATTCGCTAAAAATCAACCAAAAAAACCGACCAAAGTTGGTCGGTTATGGCCAATTACCGATCAAAACGCGACCATTACAGTGTGGACGGTGTTTTAATGGTCGGAATGGCTTACCGACCAAAGTTGGTCGGAAATTACCAACCAACTTTGGTCGGTAGCTTAAAACGACCATCTGACAAGTTTAATTACTTACCGACCAACTTTGGTTGGAAACATATTTTATTAATTTAATTTTACCGACTAAATTATGTTTTTTTATTAATTATTAAAATTTAAAAAAAACGACCAACTTTGGTCGGTAATTGAAAATTTATATTTTTTAAAAATAATTAAAATTAAACATTACCGACCAACTATGGTCGGTAATCTCAACAGTGCAGGCAAAATACCGACCAAAGTTGGTCGGTAATGTTAAATTCTGGGAATTCAATGTTCATTAACCGACCAACTTTGGTCGGTATTTTGGAATAATTTATTTTTTTTATTAAAAACCGACCAACTTTGGTCGGTTTTTCTGGGTTTAATTTTGGCATAAAATATCTGTTTTGGCAGCTACACCACCTGCCAGTATACCAATACACCTAATAACAACAACAACAACAACAACAACAACAACACAATAACAACAACCAAAACATTCAATAAATAC